CCCCCGGTGTCTTAGCAAAACGGCAGCACATTAGCGGCTCATTGACTAGAACGACACGCTTTTTAGGTCTTCCATAACCAACCAAATAAACGGCGTCGTTTACTATTTGGGCTCCTTGAAGGCCCAATTAAAAGTTGCCTGAGCAAAATAAAGTCAGAATTTCGCTTGAAGCTCTTGCATTCGAGAATTTAGGGAATTGGGTTTTATTATTTTACCAAACCGGTTCAATCTTCGGTTTAAAATTTAAAATTTTCGCTGCTTTAGACTAAATCGGTTCAACTGTTCAATTTCGATTTAGGAAGACGTGTAATACACGACAACCACGTCAGTCGAGTCAAACGGCTAATCAATAATCAGCCGTTTTCTATTGAATATCTATTTGACAAAATTAAATGAATCTGGATATTTTTTTGGCAAATTAGAAATTAGGGTTTTTATTTGGACCATTTTCATAAACTGGGTATTTTTTTTGGAAAATTTCCTTAATTAAATAGTGTGTATCACAAACACTAGACCGGACTTCGAGAATACAATTATCTTACAAAATGATTTATTGTACAATAAAAACATTTCTGTGATCATTGATCGACCAATCTCAGACTCATTGGAAACCAACATGAAGAAATCCGAATGGTCCGACCGTCATCTGTAGCGGTCCGGACTAAGCATAATTTCCATCAGAAGATCGTTCCAATGATCTATGGGACCAGGTAAGCACCAATGAAGGCAATCATTCTGAACGTGTTCCTTCATACCTGCGAACGGATTCAGATGCCTGTACGGACCCGGGTGACCATCCGGTCTGTCCAAAGACATAGCTGTCGTATCCAGCAGTCGCATATTTCTAGAAACTTCCCGAACTTTCTGGAACTCCTCTATCTCGATCTCCCGCATCACGGAATCCACATCCTTCAACGCAATCTCGCCTTCCCCAAAGGGCATCGTTCTATTACACATCCCACCGCTGTTCCATTCCCCGTTCTCGAAATGGTCTGGCGTCGCTGTGCGGAACAGGACAAGTGGGCTGTGGTCGGATCGTGTGATGAAGTTGAAAACGAGCTCGAGGGCTTTGCGGTAGGAGTACTCGTAGCCGAGTTCGGTCAGGTTGTTCTTTCCCTGACAGTAATGGCAGCCCATTACAGCGTTGTTCTCGTGGTTTATCGTGGTTTTGAGGAACCATTTTCCACCGGAGATAACGACATAGTCGAAGTTTTGGTATTGGTCAGTCCATTTACGGTCGAGCTGGTCGAGGTAGAGCTGGATATCCGAGGAGGAAACCCCGTCAGGGTTTTCAAAGGTCTCGGCTTTGAGAAGAAAAGGAGACCAAATGACCGAAAGGGTGAAGTTGTGAGAAGGGAATCTCCATATCTTTGACCTGTACTCCTTGTCATGGTATATTTCCTCTGCATCTTCTACCTGCCATACAAGTGTAATATCTGTATATGCATGAATGCGATCCAAGTGAAATTCCAGGAGTTGAGAATTTTACTTGCAATCTAAGAAGCTTGAGCTCAATCTACATTGAATATTCAGCCAATAAAGACATTCAATCTCACTGAACAAAAGCTACAATCTCTAGATACCTGAGAGAGAATGCAGAGAAGGGACTGGACGTGGTTACGTGAAATGGAATCGCCGATGAATGCCCACCATTTGTTCCTCATTGCGTCGAGAAAATGTTTGGGATTGAACCTCGGAAGATGGCAATCTCGGGGTTTCCATCTCCAGAAAAGGAAATCAACATCAGGGCGTCCATTCCTCAAGCAATTCTGATGATCTTGGATATGGCGGCAAGTGGTGTTTGTGTACACCGGCCCTGATGGGTCAGGAACCCACTTTCCTTTGAAGATATCGCATTTCCCTGAAGCTGCATTTCTCACCACAGGGATTTATAATCAGACAGATACAAGCTTTTAGCAATTATTGCTCGAGTTCAAGCACCATCAGCTTTGAGAGATTAAAGAACCGGGCATTGAGAGAAACATGGAGAATGGTGGCGTTTGAATCAAACACGTTGAGAAATTTCATCATTTGCAGATGAATAAATCCGGACAAGTAATTCTTTTCAGATGCAATAAAGAAAAGGAAAGAGAGGAGGTGATCATTTCCAGGAGAGTTGATGAAGAAAACACTCTTTTTGCTCACTCGCCATTTTTAAGGAGCTCAGTCTCCGTCATGCCCAAAAAAATCAAAACCCAGCAAATAAAGTAATTCCTCTGAAATTCTCCAAGATGCTGAATCGCCCAAAATTCCCAATCAAATAAAGGATCAAAACTAGAGCAGCGAAAGATGTCAAGGAACAAACCCATTTCCTCTGTTTGCCCGGATCTGATTCATATTTCAAATATTGCAGAAATGTATAGATGAATCAACAATAGCAACAAATTCTCACCATTCTGTGAAGCAATTGTGATATTTTCCGGGGAATCGACAGAGACCGAAGCTTGGGAGCCAGCAGAGAGATCCGAAGGGGGAGATTCCGGTGCGGTCTGGACATCGGGAACTGGAGAGGCGACGAAGGAATCGGAGATGAGAAGACGGAAAGCGAGGCCGATCAGAAGGAACGAAACGAGGAGCTTGACAAAGATTTGATTGCGTGGGCGAGAGGAAACAAATGGGCTCGTGTCAACCAGATTCTTCATGCTTTTAAACATTTAATCCAAAAATTTTCTGAAGAAATATCAGAGAGAGAGAAGAACAGGTAAAGTGGTTTCTAAGCTATTGAATGCATTGTAGTTGTTCTCCCTGGTGATCAAGAAACGATCTCAATGTTAAAATGATTAAAGAGCTCTGTTGTTAAGAAATAAAGGGCATAAAATTATATCTATATATATATATATATATATATATTCTTCAAGTGCAAGAAGAAGGCATCAAATGTTGTGATAATTGTATTATGGTGGGGACAAATGACCAAAAATAATTAAACTTTGGTAAATAATCATATTTCGCCTTGTTTCGAGTGTAAAATATCCGTGGAGGCGTGGAGAAGAATGAATGTTCTGTTCCGAGTGGTTCTGTCGTCTTTTTCAATTTTGTTTTAAATTTAATAACCATTTCATGACATCTTAATTGATAAATATATCATTTATTTATAGGCCCATTGGACGTTGAACTCGAGTCCATGGGCCTACAACCATTAAATCCTATGGACCCACCGCCCTTTTCCACGCCCCCCTTTTCTTTATTTATTACTATAACCAGAAAAAAAAAGATTATCCACAATAAAACTAATAATTCGTACAATAACATATATATGGTTTTCTGGACCAACACTCACAAACCGAACGGTACCAAAAGAATGGAAATAATAATAACCTTTTACAGACCCAAAAAAAAAAAAAAAACAAAGGTATGACATATCAAGCACAATTTACATTTAAAAAATAAAAACTCCAATAATGAATATTGAAACTGGAATTTGGAGAGGTCCGAATGAATGTTCATGAAACCCGTCTTCTGGGAACTTTCATGCCGAACCCGTGCTGCTTCTTCTCAACCCTTTTCAACAAAATCCCACAACCGCAGCCTATGTTAGTTATCTCATAATATAGTCCATCAAATGACAGGCCGTGTATCAAATATGCAGCCATCTATCCTAGGCATGTGCATGTGCTCAGAATATTGTTGTTACATGTTCGATGGGTTACTGAATAGAGAGAGCTGTTTCCTTAAGGCCAGCCGTGTAAAAGGGTCTCTACTAAAACAAGCATATGTAATGTAGGTAGCTTCAATCTATACGTGTGATGGTTTGGAGTGCTTACGATGGGGCTAGTTTGCCAAGGCTGTCAAGTTCTTCACCCGAATCTCCGTCGAGGACTCTGCCTGATATATCGATGACGTAAGAACGGTCAATCTCCCGAGGAAGCCCTCTCCCCGCAAGTAAATCCAGATCTCTCGGATGAAGCTCTCTTCCATTCACAAACACGCCTGTGTTTCCTCCAGCGCAGTTATCCGGCATCGGGGGATGGCTGAACTCCTCGATAAATGGCTGCAAGAATAGTTTCAAACCATTCAGAAAGAAAGAAATTCCAAGCCTAAGTCGAAATTTCGAAAAGAGTGTTGAGATCTTACCGGTATGATGCCAAGACATGGCTTGCCCATCACACCCCAGAACCCAGCACGGTAATCATACCTGGTCACATAAGAACCAATTGAAAAAATGATTATGATTCATAGGAAGGTGTTATCATCCCACATTACCCACGAACTCAAGCCATTAAGCAATTGAACAACCTTGCCCTGCCTAGATGGTTACATACAGTAGTACAGTACTAACCAATAAGAGTCTAAACCCTCGTTAGGATGATACCAACCTTCTCAAGTATCGGTGGAAATTAGACATAAAAAGCTATCTGGTAATGGAAAGGTGCCACTAGACTTCAAAACCATCAACAATTCCCATACTTGGATGTGTTCAAGTTCAAGGTCATGGCAGGTGTACAGAAATAGCAGGCCACATGAACAAAGCAATTGGATATATAACAGCTTAATTATATACCAACGTTCAGATGTATGCTGAAATTGACTATAACAGCTGATAACAAAATTATCCCACAATGACAAAAAGCCTCAGAAACATAAGAGGAGCAGACATACCAGTAGTTTCCAGGTTGTATTGGTCCAGCCAATTTCTCAGCTCTCCTAACCTGATCTTCAGGTATCAGTCGCCCATTCACCCATATCTCTTGTTGTGACTTCCCATTTTCTTCATTTTGATCCTTAGAGCCGTTATTGGTTACTTCCACAAAAGCAGAACCACTTCCTTTTCGGCTTCTTACTCTGCTGTCTTCTTCGCTTCTGGTAGAGTCCCTAAAATCTTCAGATGCATCGGTGTTAGAGTATCCATTATAAGAGACATCTGTCTCGGTAGCCACTGATTCTGGGTTCAGCGAGTCCTGTTTCGAGTAGGATTCCTGCTTTTCCGAGTTAATACTTAACTGGGCCATGCCGTAACTGAGTGCCACCCGGTTTATGTTAGAATACTCAAAGAGTTCGTGGAGAGAACCTTGAGCAGGAGTAGGTTCCGAAACTTTTGTGTCTTTAACTCGATGGCGGACAGACTTGATCACCCTTTGTTGTCCATCAGAAGTTTTTGACTTCTCATCATCAGAATGTTGTCTAGGAGACTGAGATTGGACGCTTTGAATATCCCGGATTTTTGTAGATTCCTCAGCTGATTCTTCGTCCATACACTGAAAATTGTTTCCAGAGTCATTGTAATCAACAGAGGAGAGATCAGCACTTGGTTGACTAACATGGCCGTGAGAAGAATTTAGAACGGCATTTTTTACTTCTGGGCTCATGCTTCTGTCTTCTACATCTCTGGAAACCGTGTCTGTTTCCACTTGGCCAGAAGTAAAAACAAGTTTCTTATCGACAATAGTGAAGTTGATTACTTCAGAACAAGCACCACATTGCAACTTTTTCTGCTTTTCCAGAACAATCAGCGGTTTCTTAGGCAAATACAGCAGCTCAAAGCAATTGTGGCAAGCTATGAAAGGAGCACCACCTGCCAGAGGACGGCAACAGCGAGCATCAGTGTCTGATACAGCTTTTTGGACATTCCCACGAGCAAATGTGCCACCCATTTCAGAGTCAAGATCACTTGGCCACCTTGTGTGGCCTTGTGGGCCAGAAGAACTCATCGAAGAATGAAAAGTACTCGAGCTATTATAGCTCTGTGAACCGAATGGCGTGAATTTCTCCCGTTGATGTGAAACAGGGCTATACGGTACATCACCATACCTACTTGGTGGAGGTTGAAAGAATGGATGATACCTAGGATCCTGTGGGTGTGGCTCCAATATATCTGGACCAATATCAGCATACTGACGAGTTGTTGGATAACTTGGATTGGGGTAATGACCCGGATGCCAATTCGTGTGTCTCCTATGGGGTTGGAACCCAAAAGGGTCTCTGTACCCTGGAATATGAGCTGAGTTACTCGTTGAAGGATACATCCTTCCATGCATCGGCATTGGTCTCCCTCCATAAGGAGATGGCTCGGGGTAGGGATGGTAAAACAAAGTTCCTGGGACATGTTTTCCAGGACCAGGAAAGGGCATTGGTGGCTGATCTGATTCATTAGGTTTATCAACCACGTTAGAACCACGAAGAAGATGCTCCTTTATGGAATCTAACCTCCTTAGAAGCTCAGCACGTTCTTGACCTGTATATTGAACTGGATTGCTTGGTTTCCTCCCATGTGGTTTATGTGAACTAGAAGAAGAATCTGACCCATAGTTCGGCTCTTCAAACTCCTCATCTCTCACACTCTTTCCTGATCTACGAGACCCAGGCCTTGAATTTGAATCGTCTTGATGTTTTCTCATCGGACTGGAAGAATCATTCTTCTCCCCGACACACTTTTCTTCACTCCTCGAGGAACCAGCGTCTGATTCGACATCTGCTTCATGTACGTCCCCTCCTCCTCCCCTCATTAGCTTCTCCGGGCGTTGCTGAAGAAATTGCTTTTAGGGTTTTGTTCAATTGACTGCAAATCAAATAGTCGGCGAAAGAACAAAGTTCCTTTAGACTGTAAGTCTGTAACTGGGAAAAAGTTCGCATCTAGAATCATATTTCCTCCAATCGGATTAAACTGAATCGGCAAATACTACCGTTGAGCTTTCTCATCCATGTTAAATGAAACCATCAACAGATTAAACTTCTATATTTCTAAGAGAATCTGAAAGGGGAAAACGGAAAACAGCTTCGCTAAGTTGCTGGATTCAAGCGAACAAGCCATAAACCATTTTCTGAGATTTCCACACGCTGTCCGGGATTTTCTGAGTATCCTAACGGGAGAAAACGTGACAGAGAGAAACTCACCTCGAGGAACAAAGTTGCCGGCGACGAGCTGATGAGCGGATAAAATAGGCGATTTCTGGTCGGAGTCGTCGATACGAGGATCAAAGAAGCAACCTTAATCTCCTTGACGACGCAGCCATTTCTGGATGTAGTTTTGAAAATTCAGAGGAATTAAATAACAAAAAAATACTACTATTCTTTCTCGCAGCAAATATCAATCGGGGGAAGAAAAAAAAAATTATCGTGTGAATAGTGTTTGATTGCGGGGAAACTTGAACCGGAGGATTAGAGAAAATAATGGTAATTTTCTCACACTTTACTTAGCTTTCCCGGGAACCAAACAGGGAGAGAGAAAATAAGAGTGATTTTGAAATATTCCGGAGGGAGCACCCTGTTTGTTTTTGTTCTAATTGTAAACAAATCGACGTGCAGGTTGTCCAAGTTAATGCTGCCATGTTCCCAGGACGTGCTTATAAGTTATAAGTTCTCCTGTTGTTTTTTTCTTTATATAAATTTAATTTTTTTAACCTTTTATGTCCGTATGAGAGCTCGTACGGATAGATATTTCAGTTTTATATTCGATTATTGTGATTTTAAAACATCTATATATTTATTCAGATTTTATATTAAATACTGTTCAATCGGGTTAGTTTCGATTTCAATTCGCGGTTTGTAATCAAAATATAAAACTCTGTGTTTTCTAAAATATTAACAGTTTTTTTTTGTTATTTTTATATACATTTCGATGTGGATTCGGGTTTCAATTTTTTCTTATAAAAATATTATAACTACTATGTTTTTATATCAGATTTTATTGGACTACATTTACGTATTATTCGATTCGGACCGAATGTGATATACCAAAATAATAATAACGGTCATCATCACCACCATCATCATTATTATTATTAATATTATTATTATTATTGAATGATATTTAAAATGTAAATTGGGAGGGTCGCTAGTTTTTCTTCGAAAATATTTGGAAAGGATAATAATAATATTTGAACTCTCTATTTATTTATTTATTTTAAATACGGTCGCCCCTTTTGACTCCATCTTGGTTGTACATACAGATAATTATATTAATAAAGGCGACAGCTGAAAAGTCATACCTGTCTGAGTCGTTCAAGTAACCCCAGTCCATTTGCTGATACTATAAATGAAATTAATGCATAAACAGCCATAGTCATCGTTAATTAATACTCGAAGAAAAATATTATCATAAATGTTTTATATATATATATATATATATATATATTGATTTGACACAACTCTGGCCCAAAGCCCATGTTCAACGCTCTTATATTATTGAGCCGATGTTGGATCTGGGCCAAGCTGGGCTGAGCTGAGGCTGTCTTTAGTATGTGATTCTTATTGTCAATGTGGTCCAATGTTCTTTAAAATCCATATATTATATACAGTATTCTCTTTAAAAAATATTCCAAAAATAAAATCCACAATATTCACTGGAATATTTTTGCAAGACAAATTCAACAACTCCCTCCCCCCACCCGTGTATTAAATTAATTAAAACCAAATTAATTGTGGTGTAAATAAATTAATATAGAACTGCTGAGAGCGATTACCAATTACTTTGTTATGGTATTTGCAGGAAAATTATGCAAGTACGGAAAGAATAAACAAAGATCGTAATAGAATTTCCAGAAAGGAATCGTTTTACATATTTATAATCCAAAACACATGTATTACGATCACCATTATCCATAAGAATCGAGGAGAAAATAAAATTCACATTGACTTGAAAATTTCATTTTATAAAAAAAATAAATATGCTGGGCCTAAAATTTACGTGGTAGGAAATTATTTTTGTTTCTCAAGGGATGACGGGGGCCACAAGATGCAAAAGCGCTCTCAACTACTCGCGATGGTTACACCACCGCTTAAACCATTGCGATGATTCCACGTGGCAAACAAACACCGAGGAGAGTACTCACCACGCCCTCGAAGATGCGCGTGGCTTTATCACCTTGAACGGCAACAAAACCCTCGATCCATTTCATTACAAAAGGCGCGCTCCAGTGATCAGACGCCGTCATTACTCTCAAGTAGTGTGATTTGTTTGTGAGACTTTTATCACTGCCGCCACGGTAAATTCGGTGGTGAACCTTCTCGATTCGTTCATCGTCGTACGGAGATAGGAGATTCTGAAACTTTGACGGAATCTTAGGGCTCATACTGTGTTATTACCTCCTCGCTGATTGATTTTTCTCTCTATCGGAGTAATTTATTGTGTTGGTGGTGGTTCATTGATGGCTTCGGAGGATGTGAAGACGAGCGAATCGGCAGCGGTTTCGACGATCGTTAATCTGGCGGAGGAGGCGAAGTTGGCGAGGGAGGGAGTCAAGGCTCCGAGCTACGCCGTTCTCAGTGTTTGCAAGTCTCTCGTCGCTGGCGGCGTTGCTGGTGGATTGTGAGTTGCTATTTTCTATTTTCTAATTTTCTTCGTTTCTGTTTCAATTCGAAAAATGAAAGATCTCTTGAAACGTTGCGTAGGATCATTCGTTGGATCGATTAATTTGTTGAGCAACGTAACCGGGATGCGGAACTTGGATTTTTGGATTTTCTTTTACCATTTTGCTATTGATGAATGCTTCGAGGAAAAGTCTTAATTCTAGTGCTCATGTATTGTTGCGGAAGGCAATTTAGGCAGAGCGGGCTGTTTTTTCCCTTTCATTGAATTTGCGAGGTCCAAATCCGTGTTCGAGCAATCAATATAGATATTCAAAGTTATTCTGGTTGCTGCAGAGCTTTTTGAGATTACCGAGCATTCTTTTCGAGGTGCAGGCTCAGCCATACATCGTAGCCAGTATGATCAATATAGATTTTGCGGCAGAATATATCGAGCTAGCTATGTCGCTCTAGTCTCCTCCTAGTATCCGATGTGGATATAGATATACAGCAAGAGTAGTTAGTTTGCGTAGTTTCACTTCGAGTTTCAGTAGGTATGTTAAACATTAAGCGTGCACATTTGTTTCTTATGATAGTGTTTTTTTGCTTATGTGTATTTGATCAGGTCTCGCACTGCAGTTGCACCCCTGGAAAGGTTAAAGATTCTCTTACAGGTTTTTTCCAGTCACCTGGTTGATTCTTTGGAATTTCATGTAAATGCTTTCTCAAACTCGATATACGGTTTGTTAATGTGTAGGTCCAAAACCCACATAGCATAAAATATAATGGAACAATTCAAGGATTGAAGTATATTTGGAAGACAGAAGGCTTTCGTGGGCTGTTCAAAGGAAATGGTACCAACTGTGCTCGTATAGTTCCGAATTCAGCCGTCAAGTTTTTCAGCTATGAGCAAGCTTCGAAGTATGTTATTTACTTTTTCCGTGGCTAAGTGTGTCATTCTGTTTGGGTTCAATCTTCTTAATTCTTCTAAAAGTTTTCATGTATTGACATTTACCAGTTAGCTATAGTTTGCCTGTTAAAATTATTTCTTCGGTTTAATTTCTGCTACTTTTCTTTGCCAGGGGAATATTATACATGTACAGGCAGCAGACAGGAAATGGTAAATTATTTATTCACATTTGATTTCTTATTGTTCTGTCTCAAAATATCTATAGGTGTCAACTTTACTATAACTTGGTTGTTTAATTTGCTTGTGAGTTAAGCTTTCAGAGCTACATTTTAGTCAAATGTCACTAGCCATTTGCGTTGGTTCTAGAATACTCGCTCATTTTATGAGTTCTTTGGATCTGGATTTATGCCTTTTCTGCAGAGAATGCTCAGCTCACTCCAGTTTTACGCCTTGGAGCTGGTGCAACCGCTGGAATAATAGCTATGTCTGCAACATATCCAATGGATATGGTGCGGGGAAGGCTAACTGTCCAGGTACTATTTGTATCCCAACTAATGAGCGCTGACACCTTTTTTTTCTTTTTTTACTTCTGCAAAGATGAATATGATTGTTTTTTACAGACTGCAAACTCTCCTTATCAATATAGAGGAATATTCCATGCTTTGTCAACTGTTCTGCGAGAGGAAGGACCACGTGCCTTGTACCGTGGTTGGCTTCCATCAGTGATTGGAGTGGTAAAAAATTTCAGCTCTTCTCCTTTGAACTTAATACTACAACTTTACCATTTAATGGAACCCTTAATTGTCTGGTGCGGTTATGCAGGTTCCATATGTGGGCTTGAACTTTGCAGTGTATGAATCACTAAAAGACTGGCTAGTAAAAGCAAATCCATATGGGCTGGCACAAGATTCGGAATTGAGCGTGACGACAAGGCTTGCATGCGGTGCTGCAGCTGGAACAGTAGGCCAGACAGTTGCCTATCCGCTTGATGTTATTCGTAGAAGAATGCAAATGGTTGGGTGGAAGGATGCTTCTTCAGTTGTTACTGGGGATGGAAGGGGCAAGGCTTCTCATGAATACAGCGGCATGATCGATGCGTTCAGGAAAACAGTTCGTCACGAGGGCTTTGGAGCACTGTACAAGGGATTGGTTCCCAATTCAGTGAAGGTTCTGTCCCCTCATCCATTTCCTAGTTTACGAATTAATTAACATAAATGCTCAAATGATTTGATATCTATACCAGTTGATATAATCTTATTGCATTGTGTTTTTCAGGTTGTACCATCGATTGCGATAGCATTTGTGACATATGAGGTGGTGAAGGACTTGTTAGGAGTCGAGTTTAGGATATCAGACTGAACTGAAACTGAAGCTTGGATTCATAATCACCCACCCGTTATTTCTTGGAAACGGACTTCTGTTTTTTTAGCCGACAGGGAAAGAAATAGAAGTTCAATTATAGGCAGAATTCATCCCCTTCGAGCCGTTCAAAGGACAAGCCTAGCCGAACTGTTTAAACGTTTTGTTTTGTTTTGTTTTTTTTGCCAGTTGTCTGTTTTGTTTCACTTGTTATCAAATTGTAGCTTCTAGTTGCTGGAGTAATAAATAAGTCACTGGCTTGACTTGAACTATAACCGTAGGAACCGAAGAAAAATGTTTCTCGTTATGGAGGATTAATATTTGCCTGCTCTTGTGTTTCAGCTGAGTTAGAAAGTCAATTTAATTAATGGTAAGTATCTTGTTCAAATGTGTCTGATAACTGTAGAGCAGAAATCTATCTATATGCTGTTCCCGCTTGCGAAAATGTCTTTGTTTCTTGCAGTCTAAGCAAGTTCCGAGTCAGAACATGGTCGGAGCGCAGTCGCAGTATCTTCGGGCTTGCCAGCATCAGGTGACTCGTAGAGTTGAGTCTTTGTTTTATATATATATATATATATATATATATATATATATATATATATATTGCATATGCCCTCGGGATTGTGAACAACGGGCGAGCCTTAGGGTGGCATTACCAACCAAATCCCACACACAAAGATAGTAGGATGGTAATTCGTCTCTGTTAAATTCTCAATTCTCAGGCAATGCGTTATGGTAACTTATCTCTGTTGGATTCATTTCGATTTAATTTCGTATATATATTAAATCTTGCATATTTGGTGGAATCTATTTTACTTAGTTATCTCACATTTAATACTTCGGCAGAATTTTGAATCTTGCATATTTCCAACTAAAAAATTCACACACTTTTTCGAGGAAAAAAGAAAGATCAAAATCTAAAGTTTTGGTTGTAACCATGTATGAGCGAGGGTCGATGTACACGTGGCAATGATCTGCAGCAAGCAAAAATTCCATCTCATCCTGGCCGTCCATCATTTCTCCTCTCGGAACGCACCGCACACACCTGATGATTTCATCAAGAAACAGCACAGCAATCCTCCGCCGTCCGATGACGATCCCATGTGATTCTTTCCCGCCAAATCTCGAATCCTGTTCCACTCCGTCAATGGCGACGAAGACGATGGTAGAGGAGACGACGCCGCTGAGTCAGGACCGTCGGAGTAATCCACCGATCCTGAGTACGAATTCTCCTTCGAACTCGCTGCTCCGTTGTCGGCGCGGCCGATCTCCGCCACGGCGGCCGCAGATCTGGACTTCTTCATTCTTCGCCCCCGGCGACTCTCCGTCGTGTTCTCCCGGACTACGTTAAAGATGTCTGCGGTGATTTCAGAGGAGTCGATGACCATGGCGCCGATGTTGAGAACGCCGTGGAACTTCCCCGAGGGACGGCGGATCTGGAGCGCGAGGAGCGATGGAGCCTTCAAGGAGACAGTTGGGAGGAAATTACTGACAAGAAAGCGGACGGTGCCGATCAGATGATCGCGGAGATAACCGATGGTGTAGATTTCGATGGAGACGCCGGAAGTTTCTCGAGAGAGGAAATCGGCTGAGACTTGAAAGAGGAATTTGTCGTTCCAGATGGGGTTTTCGGCGCCGATTCGGTCGATTCGTGTCCGGAGTTTGCAGGAGGGGTCGACCCAAACGACCGCGTAGGTCTGCATTCGCCGGAGCTTTCCGGACGGCTCTTTCAATCCTTGAGCCGATATCAAGTTGATCTGCAGAACGTGCGTTTCCTTTCGAATACCTTCTTCCATCTCTCTCTCTCTCTCTCTCTCTCTCTCTTTTCTGTTTGAATTCTTGGTTTCTGTTACGTTGGAATTCACACCATCGAGAGAGACCACGACGGAATTCGATCGAATTCAGACGGGAGAAGAGTCTTTGACGGCGGAGAGGTAAGGCTCCAGAGAAATGAGGTCAATGGTAGAGAGAGGTTAAGATGGATATGAGTGAGAGAGCGACTGTGTGTGTGTGAACAGGGGATGGGGGATTTTGAAGAAGACGACGGCTGATGCTCAATTACGATATTGTCCTTCAGTTTTTTGGAAGAAAACTTTGATAAAAGCCCGGGGGAATTATATGTTTTGACTTTTGATATATATGGTGGTTAAATGAAATTGTTTAGTAATTAACAACACCAAATTTAATTGATGCTTTGGCACAAACTTACTCTCAAACGCCATACGCAATTATATAAAATCATAGTTCAAATAATAATATCTTTTATCATAACAGATTATACGAACTCTTTCGACCGTCATAGAATATTTTAACAATGTTTAAAATGATTTAATAAATAACTAATTATTAATATGTACTCTATCTCATTCGCATAACTGAGTGTTATTTTAAAACAGATTAGTAAACATCCGTTGGACCATATGTAGAGATATGCTTGCTATTTTAATCGGCTCTCCCTCCCTCCAGCTGCTGGAGAGGGAGTGCCAATATTTAATTTCGTCTCTTTTATGAAGCCGACAGAAGCCATCGCCGAGGTGGAAGAGTTCCGTTCAGGTGGTGGAGTACTCCTATCCCAGGTCCCATACTCGAGCCACATGGAGAGTGAGACGTAGTTAGGTACGTTTTAAAAATTGTTTTCGGAACTAGGATAAATGTAATCGGGTCGAAAGCTCGAGAACGGTTCTAGTTTAAAAAAAAACTTAGGTTATTTTGTTTCTTATGGGACTCATTTTTTGCTCTAAAGCCCATACCATGCTTGGCCCACAGCCTATTCCCACCAACCAAGCTTTATACCAAACAAGCATTAGATTTCGCGGTCAGAAAGTAACTAATCGACCTGAACTCAACAAGGGTAAAGCTCCAGACCAATACATAATGAAGAAATCGAAACAATTGAGACCAAAAATTGGGATAAACTAACTTAGGCTTGATCATATCTAATTTAATTTCGATTTTGAGATGTGGAAAAAGGGCATCTTACTCAAAACCTTGGCTTCAAAAACTTTGGTACCGCTTCTCAATCTCAATCACAGCCTTCTCTGCGATTGGATCGATATCATCTTCGTACTTCTCGTACAGCTTCGGCACGGTGTGGACTCGAACAAAACCTGTCCAATCCATGCGTGTTATTTTAAACGGACAAGCGAGGCATTTCAGAACCAGTTTTAGCTTCTTCATTTTTTTTGGTGTGCGTACTTACAGAAGTAAACCAACGACAAGAAGCTGAACCAGTTGCCGATGATTGATACAAGCCATAATCCAGCCACTACCTTGTTTCAGAAACAAAAGGAATTAGATCATTCTAGAGGCAGCACCGAAGAAAAAAGAGTAGCAAAACAGCTGAGTACACGGCTGGTAAAAAAATTTGAAAGTCATGGTATTCCATTCGACCCGCATGTTGGTCTAATTCTTAGAAAAAAACCTGAAATTTGGATTTAGATTCGGGTATTAATGTATGAGAGGACTAATTACCTCGGGTGCCCCAAGAGTAACTAATTTACACTTTGACCCCTAAATATATATATATATATAATACATTTACATTTTGTCTATAAGATTTCAGGTCTGAACATTATGGAGATCCGACTGGTGAGAAATTCGGGTTTGGGTTCAGATAACCCGAAAATATTGGGTACGGATGGTGCCTACCCCAAGCTGAGTGTCCCCTGAGTGAATCGGCCTTACCATTAGAAACATTTTCAGGTCTCTCTCAAGTGCGAGTCTCCTTAAAACTGCAAAGGCACAGTTGAGATCCACTATGAATGCAGAAACGGTTTGGAGACAAGGAAATGAGGAATCTGATATGCACCGAGAGAGATAAGTGAAGCAGGGAAAACAAACTTACTTGTTCATGAATGTATGTGCATTTGACCAGAAAGTTCTTTCCTCGATTGCTCACTGTACACTCAATTGCATGGGATAACTACATACGAAATTGTCAATCACTATTGAAACGCTGTTCCGACACCAGTTCTCTGTAAAACAAACCCGTGCTGATTATCGACGTACAGAATTATGCAAAGAAAACCATGGAACATTGCAATATCTCGTTTTCATGGCCGAAAGATAAACAAATTATTAGGGGTGTCAAAATGGCCGGGCCGGGCCGGCCCGACCCGAAACACACGCGGGCTTAAAATCTTGGGCCCGAGGCCCGGTCCAATGGGCTTTTTTCGGGTTCAGACCGAGCTTCGGGCTTTTTTTAAAAAAAATAATAACAAAATAAAAATTATTAATAAAAATTTATCAAAATAGAAAAAAAATTAATATATACTGAAGATAATAAAAAATAAAGTTTTGATAAAAATATTTATTAATATATAAGTAATTTAAGAGAAATTTCCGGACGGCTCTTTCAATCCTTGAGCCGATATCAAGTTGATCTGCAGAACGTGCGTTTCCTTTCGAATACCTTCTTCCATCTCTCTCTCTCTCTCTCTCTCTCTCTCTTTTCTGTTTGCATT